TGGGCGCGTCGTCACGCACGGCCCAACGAACTCCGGCGCGAGAGAGACGGCAGGTTATTCCTCCAGACGTCTCGGGGCAATTTCGGGTGACCACATTTCTATTCCTCGATGCCTTTGCCCTCCAGCACTTCTCCTTGGACGATCATTCCGCTACAGGAAAAGAGGGACGAATGTTCCGCGCATTCGACGACACCACTTGGGCCCCGCGTGTATGGAACGCGGGCATTTCCGGAGTCTTTTTAGACCTCCGGGGCGCATACAATTATTGGTGCCAGGCGGAGGACCAGGCCCAACTTGTATTTGACAGTTTGGTTGCGTGGATGCGTGCGCTGGAAGCGGAGCGAGGCCTCTCCGATCGCTTTATGAACTTGGGAAGGATCTTACTGCAGGCATTCCGGATGCAGCTCATGATGGCATCCGACCCCGGCATCCCGGTCTTCAACGTTCTCGCCCGTCCTTGCACCGCCGTTCATGAGGCTGACACCTTTGCGAGGGCAATCCAGATTCCCTTGGAACGACGAGGGACGCAAATATCGTTGCGATGCCAGTTATTTCATGTTTATGGACACGACACATCTAAAAGCAACGCCCGAGACGCAACCAGAGGAAGTTACTCGCAGCGCGGACGGCCGTCAAGAAACGGCAAAGGGGCTGCTTGCTGCTTCTTGTGAAGGCGGACAACGGCAGCTCCATCCATTCCACCACCTCCCGCTATTCCGCAAAGAAGTCGCACCGCGCCGCCGATGCTCCATCCGATGTTTCAAATTGCCCGACGCAATCGTCGGGAAGGGCGGTGGAGCTTATCTGCCAACGACGCTCGGCTGTGTTACGACGAATCACCGGCAGTTCCGCTTTGGGCCAGTTATATGAGGAAAGCAAACGAGGTGGCTCGAGAACTGTGGGCGCCGTCAGCGTGGGAGCAGAGAATGTCCCTAGCGGGGCAATTCACGACTTTTTGCTGCACGCACGAACAGCCGATGAACAAGGAGAGCTGCGCGGTCTTTTTTGATGGCAATCGAAGTGGCGCCATCGACACCCGACTGCAGCACGCCCGGATGCTGCGGTCCATGTTGGAAATGGATCGAACCCCGCTGGATATGGCGGCTTTGAGGTTACAAAAAGTTGCGGTGCGATCGGAGACGAGGCAGACGAGGCAGGCGCGCCCCGTGACAGAGGAAGAGATGAATCAAGTAATCCGCAGCCGGACCGATTGGAAGGAACGTGTTGTCTTACGACTTGCGTGGATAACGGCGAGTCGTTTGTTTGAGATTGCGGTCTTGACCCCCAACAATTTCACACTGGAGCCGGACGGGGCCTTAATTTTGGATTGGTCCGTGGTGCCGAAGACGGCGAGGGCGCGTCCCCACCGCGCCTCGCGGTTCGTGAGGACACGAAGGCAGGACGTGTTCGACATTATAAAGCTATGCAGGACACTTCAAGAAAACGAAAAGCTTACGAATATTACGACTGCCCAAGTCGAACGAGCCCTGGTTCCTTGGGATGCCACGGCACATTCCACAAAAAAGGGTGTGTTGAGGCACGCTGCTCCAATCGTGGAGACATACAATTTGGACCCACACGTGGTCTCGCAGTTGGCGGCGCACGTCAATCCGTTCGACCTTCCCAGAATACTGTTTGATATTTGTGGAGGTACACCACACTGCTGACCCAGGTGTTGGCACTGGTCGCGTTGATGTGAGGGGAGAAACGGCGGAAGGGCAAGAACCCTGGCTGAGAGCAGAGGAGTGTTTTTTCATGATTTTTATCACAATCATGCCGCTACAATAACGAGACGCGTGGCGAGGACGCGTATGGCCACTCCACAAGACGAACGAACCATCCCGCTGCAGCAGGTCAACGTGCCCGTATTGAACCTAGAGTGGATCATGAGCCGGTTGAACCCGGCCACCCTGGAGAGGCTCATGCAAGTTTGGGGACTCGTCGGGCGGTCTCCTTTCCCTCCGTCTTCCTCCGGTAAGGCGCGCGAAGGCTCACGGAGGATTTCAGCGGCTGGCGCGCGATTGCTGAAGGAAGCGGGAATTATCGAGGACGCTTTTTCTGCAAGAACAGGCGGATGGATAATACCTTTTTCGGTTGTGAAGGAGAAAACCACCGGTTTACGACGACGGATCGCGTGGCCACGCGACAAGAACAGAGACGACCCTTACGAGGCGAATGTTTCTCTTTTACACATTTCCCATTATTTGCCGCCTGTGATGGCTGAGGCCGCTTCCTGCCTGGATGTAAAGTCGTCCTTCATAATCTCTTTACCGCGGGAGACTCGGCATCCCTTTCGGTGCCGCGTGGAGGACGGCACGCTGGTGGAGCTGACACGGCTCCCAATGGGATACAAGGCCAGCCCAAAAACTCTCCGGATTATTATTATTATTAGCAGTTGCCGAGGCGACGGTGGCTCACCGCCTCTGGGCTGCACCTCCATTGGTGCGTGTCGACGTATGGATCGGTAATATACGCATTGCAGGGTCGAAAAGCGATGCGACATTGTGGGAAGCCCAAGTGCTTCGTAATGCGGCCGGCTGTCACGCCACGATGGAGGAGGACCGCAAATCGGGCGCCACGCAGTACACCTTCCTGTGGGTGCAGTTTGATCACACTCACCGGGTGGTATCCCTGAGTGACAAGTTTGTCCGCTCTGTACGCGCCATGCCGGCGCTTAATTCTTTGACCATCGCGGCAATGGAGGTTATGGCGCTACGCCTTTTGTACGCGGCTGCCGTTTTTTGCACGCGTTTATGCGAATAATACTTTTTTATCAAGGCAGTGCGACGACGATTATCGGCAGTTAACCGGGGAATTGTGCGGGAGACGTCCCCGGCGAACCTTCCACCAGGAGCGGCTGGTTTGGGCGAGAGACTACGACACATCATCGAGAATATAATCGTAGGCGAATGTTCAAGCTCAGGGAGAAGGCATCAGCCGCCATCATCACGGATGCGTCGCTCCATGGATGGGGAGCCGTTTTCATTCCAGATTCAAGCAATGTTAAAACCGCCGGAGGAAAATGGAGGAGGAGTTCTTTTCTTATCATGCAGGCCGAGGTGCGCGCGGTGCTCTTGGCCTTATCGGCCTTTCCCGCCGCCTTGCCACCCACCATGGACGTTTGGGTGGACAATACTTCGCTGCAAGGAGCGGCGAATAAAGGCAGCTCATAATCGCACGCCATGGCGTGGAACCTCGACGGATATATGAGTTTTTGGACTCGCACGGAGTGCGGGCAACTTTTGCCTACGTGCGGTCCGCAGAAAACCCCGCAGACGGCATATCACGCGGTCGTGTTTTTGCACTTCAGGACTTTGTGAAGGGGTGGAACTTGCGGAGGGGATCGGCGGGGTCCTGCGGCTGGAGGACCAAAAAGACTGCCGCTTTGTAAGTAATAATATTTAAATCCTAGCTGAGTACAAAAGATCACTTTAGCGCTCAAAGGAATATATATATTTAATCAGAAGAAAACATTGAGGCAATTAAATGCCTCTGCATTAATCCCCTCTTTTTCCCCTATCTTGTTTGGTTTATATAGATAATTTTAGGATCCGGCCAGCGGCCCAGAAGATTATTCGGGCTTGTTATTTTACTGATTATTGGCAAAAACGGATGATTGGGACACCGCGATTGACCGTGGAGGATGCGTAACAATTGTGTGTTTCACGCCCTCCACTGCAGCGCCCTCTCCTGGGGCCGGGGCACTTCTTCACATCCCTACTTATTGGGCGGATGTGCTCGACGATGGTGGCTGGCGTGCGGCCATGGGAGTTATTTGAGAGTAGTCAATGCCAAAGAAGAAACGGCCACTGCACGGCTTTGCGTTTTTTGTGTGGGTTGCGGTGCCTCCACGTCCTATTGAAATGATGGGGTACTTATTGTATTTTTATTTTGCTTGCGCTGCGCAGCTTCCCTTTCTTGGTCACGGTGACTGCGTGCTCGTCGCACGTGCCGCATCGTCCGCTGTTGTTCCCTCGTTGTGTCGGTGGGGGAGTGGGCGAGCGACGGCTTTGGTGGAGTGGCGCCCTAGTGGGAGAGGGAAGGCACCGACCGCTGCTGAATGCGACAGTCTTTGCCGCAGGCGATCTGGAGGGATGACGTTGTTGCTGCAAACAACTGAGATGGACGAGGGCCGCACTGCGTCTCTTTCCCCTCTCTACATCATTGCAGTTTTCTGCAGACACACACACCGCACGGCGGCGACGCGACCACCATCCGGGCGGCTGCGAGCCAATCGAACTGTGCAATTGGTTTGGGTTATTGTTTTCTGTGACTGAGTTCTGCCGCCGTGCTTCTTCATCCCTTCTGTGTGTAATGCCGTCTGCACGTATGGTGCCGCTGTGTGTTGTGCAATACCGACCCACGTGAGCGAAAAACGACACTCTGACAGCTGGCAACTGGCGAATCCTCCACCCCTATTCCGCGTCAGCACTTTATTTTTTTACGCGCTCGATGGCTGTCGGTTGCGACGCCGCCATGTGAATCTGTCTCGGCTCTTGTGTGTCTTTCACTGCATCGGGACTGTTCTGTGATGTAGCCATTCGGCAACAGGAGCGGTGCCAATGGTCATGTGCCTCCTCTCCGGGATCGCACCACTCGGCATGGTGGTTGTATGGAGCTGCGCGGGCGGTGGGAGGGCGATGGTGTCACTGGCGTGATTGTGGCGTCTGTGCTTTTTTGTGTCGGTGGCTGTGCATTGGTGGGGACTGTCTGTGGCTGGATGCTTCTGCGTGCCAATTTCTTTATTTGCTGTTGTTTCTGCCCTCCTTTCCTCCGATCAAGCAGATAGAGGTACTTTTGATTGACCACCACAACTATCGTTTCAAGCTATTAGGGATTAATTGCACTATTAGGATAAGCAGTAGTGGGTTAACGATATATAGGAATTCTGTTACTGGATTTGCCATTTGTAGAAAGGGATTTGCTAAGCAGGAGTTACGGTCGACTGGGCGAGTGCGACACACCACGGCAGCCCTGTTGATATCTGTTTGGGTCTGTGGATGTGGTCTGCGGTGGGTGCGTATCCGTGCAGCCGGCACCGTGTACGGCACATGGCCATTGCGGCTGTGCGTGTGGCGCTGCTCTTTTTGTTGTCGCTGGTTGCGGCGGCGGCGTGGATGCCCGCGGTGCGTGCGGTGGTGTTGCGACTGCGGGGCGGCACGGTGGACAGAGCCATCACGGTGGGCCGCGCCGTGGACACGGTGCTGATGGACGGCGTGTACGTCACGAACGGCGTGGCTGTTGTGTTCGACGTGCCTGCGATGCTTCCCGGTACACTGCGCATCGAACTGAGGAACTGCGTGTGCGACGGCGGTGCGCAGATCTACGTGCGGGGCTACAGCGGCGAGCCGGCGAGTGACCGGAGCCTGGAGGTGAGCGTGAGCGGGCTGTCCGGCGACTACTGCTCGCTTGTGTTTGTACACAACCTGCCGGCACACACGAACGTGACGGTCCGTGACTCGACGATTGTGACAGCGGGGCCGATGCGCTACTCCCAGCTGAGCGGACTGACGGACGCTGTGGCGTCGCCGCTTTTGCTGCACGCGAACTCGCTGTTGCAGACGCAGCTGCGTGTGAGCAACACTGTGCTGAGGTCGTTGCAGGCGGGCGGGTCGGCGGTGTACGTTGGCGGCGGCATGGACCTGCTGTCGAGCGCGGTGGTGCTTGACGGCGTGTTGCTGGAGGCGTCGGGCGGTTCGACCGCTTCCGCGATGCGTGTGGCGTCCTCGTCGCGTCTCAGTCTGCGGAGCCACTCGGTGTTCTCCGTGACGAACGTCTCGGTTGTGAGCAGCGGCGGCGGCATTGTGCTTGGCGAGCGCCTCGCGGTGTCTGATTCGGTGCTGCGCTTCGTGGGCGTCGAGGGGTCTGTCGCGTCGTCGCTGGTGCGCTGCGACGGTGGAACGATCGGTGACGGCGGGTGGCTGGAGCTGCGCGACGTGTGGGCGGTGGGCGAGACGTCGTCGGTGGCGTCGCTGTCGGGTGTGACGCTGAGCGGCGGCGCCGTGTCGATTGCGCGCTGCACTGCCACCGGCGCGACGCTTGTCTCCGGGCCGACGATCACGAGCGGCGCCGTGTCGGTGCAGTGCAACCGTGCCGGCGGCCGGGTGCTGCGGAGCAGCGGCGACTACCGCATGGCCGGCCTGCCCTCCGTGAGCGTGGTGCCGTGCGACGGCTGTGCGGCTGCGCTGGCGTGCTTCGATGCGCTGACGGCGTCGTTCTCTGACTGCGTGTGCGGCTGCCGTGCCGGCGGCGTGGGCGAGGCGTGCCTGCCGTTCGACGTGCCGCCTGCGAGGTCCGGCGGCGGTGCGGAGGGCTGCGTGAGTGGCGTGACGCTGACAGAGTCCGTGACGGTTGGCGGCGGGCGGGCGACGGCGTGCTTCGACTCGGTGGTGTTCAGCGGGCCAATCACTGTGGCGGTGGACCTGCGCTCGATGGACGCGTTCGCTGACGCGCTGAACGTGACGCTGCGCCACTGCGTGCTTGCGGGCGGCGCGCAGCTGCGGATTGGTGGCCTCAGCGAGAGCACGTCTCGCCTGATGCCCCACGCCCTTGTCAACATGACGAATGTGACGTCGCTGGAGGGCACGATCGTGCTGCATGGCGTGATGCCGCTGCACTCGAGTGTGCTTCTGGCGAACTCAACGCTGCGCGCGACGGTTGGCGGGTCGCAGTACGTGCAGACGGCCCCTGGCCACGAGAGATCCCGGTACGGCCCCGCGCTAGTCCTGGACGGTTTCCGTCTGCTGTCGACGCGGTTTGTCATGACGCGGTCGACGCTGGCGTGTGGCGGGGGCTCGTGCGCTGCGATCCTCGTGGAGCGCAGCCTCGTCGTGAACCTGTCCAGCGTCTTCTACATGGACAACTGCGCTGTCCTTTCGCGGACGCATGTGATGCGCGGTCTTGCGTCGGAACTGCGTGTTGCCGACGGCTCCGTGTTCTCCATACAGAACAGCTCGTGGAGTGCGCCGAGCACTGAATACTTCAAAGGCGCGTATTTATTCAAGGATTTTGTTGTGGATGGCGGCAGCGTGCTGCAGATTTTGTCCAGCACTTTCCGTCTCGGCTTCGCCATGCTCATGGCAAACTCGCTGACTGTGACTGGCGGCAGCTGGCTGGTGCATCGCGACAGCGAGTTTCGCACCGCCTACGTCGTGTACGTGGTTGCCTACGACGGCGTGACGTTCCGCGATCAGAGTGTGTGGTCGATACTTGACAACAACTTCACTTACGGCTCGTACTTGTCAACAACTGTAAGTATGACAAGAAACTGGTCACCACCATCCGACACGCGCCCGACCATCTACGGCATGTGCAACGAGGCAAGGGGCTCTCCTGTGACGGATTACCAAGAAGAGCTCAATATTGGGACGCCCGTGACGGTGTTGGACTGTGGCGCGTGCACCGTGGACGCTGTGTGCTTCGCTGCGAGGACGAGCAGCATCAGCGGCTGTGAGTGTGTGTGCGCTGCTGGCGGCCACGGCGAAACGTGTCTGCCAGCAGCGGTTCCGGACGGCCTTGGACCGCTCCCGCTCCTCGAAGCGGACGACACGGAGGTCCGCTGCGTGCACGGTGGCAGCATCAGCTCTTTGGACGATCCTGATCCCGGTGTGCGTGGTCTGTGCTTTGTCAACGTGACCTTCACCGCTGCGATTGCGCTGGACCTGTTGCATTTTGACGCGCCAGAACAAACACTCAACATCACGCTGCTGCAGTGCGTTCTCGTAGGCCTGTCGGTCAAGGGAAGTGGTGTGCGAGTGCACGTGAACGTGACATCCTCGATGCTGGATTCTGGTGAGTTGGCGTTTGAGGGTGACTTTGGCACGAGCTCCCAGATACTGGTGGCGGGCAGCTCGCTTGTGACGACTTCGAGCCACGCCATTTTATTTTTAAAGGTTTTTCTTGGTGTGAACTCGACGCTGCTGCTGCTTGACAACCGCATCGAGGGGAATCGGTACGCAATTCATTTCAGCATTGCTGCTGTTGTTGATGGCGGCGGAATCATTGTGAAGGGAAATACGCTGAGTACGATAGAGAATGACGGTGAGGAATCATCCGTTTGCGTTACTTCTGTTGATGTGAGGAACGGCGGCCACATTGACGTGGAAAACAACACGATGAGCTCGGTCAATGGCGTTATTCTTTTTGGGGATACCGCCGTGAGCTCCGCGGGGCTGCTGCGAGTGGCGGACTGCACCTTCGTTGGCAGGAAGGAGAGTTTTGATTCCACGCTAGTGTATTTGGACGGCTCGGTGACACTTCGGGGTGGAGCGCAGTGGCGTGTGGAGGGCAACAACGTAAGTGCCGCCTCAATAATAGGTATGTTGCGTCCCCAGCACAAAATTCAGCTGTTAGGCAACGGCACCACTGTGGTGCTTGCAAACAACCGTCAGGTGGAGGGAAGTGCAGTCTTTGCCAAACTTCTTCCACCGAACACGATTGTGGCGTCGCCCGCGCGGTTTGTGGTTGGGTGCAACCTGCAGGGCGGTGAGGAGGTGTCGTACGACGGCGTATTTCCGGGGGCAGTGTTGTTGTTCGGGTGCGGCACATGCAACGACGACGCGGCGTGCTACATGCCCGGGACGGAGTCGGTGGACCGCGGCTCGTGCTCGTGTAGCTGCAAGGACGGATGGCATGGCGCGTCGTGTCTTCCCTTTGAGGTGCCCGACACTTTTTTGCCGCCCTTGCCGGAGAGAGCCGTCGACGGCGACACGAGCTGCGTGGTGAACCAGACGCTGACGAACGTTACGCTGAACATGTGGAAGACGCACCACTGCTACGTGGGTGTGACATTCAGCGGTGTGGGTGCTGCGTTTACGTTTTCATTCGACAGTATGCCGCTGCATCTCCCCATCAACATCACGCTCACCGGGTGCACATTCCGTGACGGTGCCGCGCTGCAGTTTGTTGGAGATGTTGAGGCGGCCGAGTCAGCTGGCGTCCTGATCCGCGTGAGCCAGGCGGTGATGCGATCCTCTGTTGTTGTGTTTGCACTTGCCTTCCCGCAGCACTGCGACATTGCCGTCACGGAGGTTGATGCGGTGCAGTCTTCTGAGGTCCATCTGCCGGATGCAGTGAACAACAAGCTGAGCGTATTTTTACTGAAGAACGTCTTGTTGAGTGCGTCGACGCTGCTGGTCAGCAACGTAAATGCGCATGCAACGAAGCGTGATGCGTTTGGTTTTTACTCGACCGGGACGCTGACGCTGGTGGGTGGCAGCTCGCTGTACGCGCGGTACTGCAGCTTCGAGGAATACACACACTTTTTTTACTTGGATATCCTCAGTGTCAGTCACCGCTCTGTTTTTGCGCTGCTCAACAATACAATGGCCTCCGGAACGAGCCTATTGTATCAGCACTCCCGATTCAGCGTGTCGGATCACAGCGTGTTGCGCGTAGTGGGGAACAGCGGTTCCGTGTCCTACGCCATCTATTCACTAAACTCGTGGACCGTCCAGCGATCAAGCTGGTTGGATTGGCGTGACAACGACGTGGGTGTGGGTGCGATGTTCTACGACACTGAGTCCGCTTTTGTGAGCATTGACGGCGGCAGTGTGGTGACGCTGACGGGCTGCAAGATGGGCTCGACGGGGTTGTCGGGACCTCTTCTATCGCAGGCTGTCGCCGGCTACCGGTTCGTTGCTGGGTGTCTTATTGTCGCGGGACGTGTGGTGACGACGGCGGCAGAACTGGCGCTCCACGGCATCACCAACGTGACGACGGTTGCTGCGTGCGGTGAGTGCATGAAGGAAGGCGACTGCTTTGCACCGCTGACGACGGCGGTCATTGACTGCAAGTGCCAGTGCGCTGCTGGAGGGCGCGGCGATGTGTGCGTCCCGGCGCCTGTGCCTGCTGGCCCGCCACCGCCACCACTGCCATCGCCGCTACTACCCACGCCGCCACCGCCGGTTGGTGAGTGCATCAGCGACATGGTGTACCCCGAGGTGGCGCAGGCAGTGGGCAGCGGGCTGTCGTGGCTGTGCTACCGCAACGTGACGTTCAGCGGGGGCGGCATGAGACTGACGGTGCTGCTTGGGGGGATGACGGGCGACGTGGCGAATGTCAGGTTTGATGGATGCACGTGGAGGGACGGCGCCGTGCTGTTGCTGTTGGGCAACGCGTACGCCGCTGTTGGGGCGCTGAACATCGTCGTCACCGGCAACACATTTAGTGACGCGCTGCTCAGCCCGGAGGGTGGGTTTCCACCGCGCACGAACATCACGATCAGCGGGAACCGCTTTACGGTCACGAGGCTGGTCCCTCGGTCGGGTTTGTTCCTTAGGGGCCCGTCGTGTGTTGCGATGAATGAGCTGGCGATCAGCAAAGACTCCGCGGTGGTGCTGAGCGGCAATGTGTTTCAGAGCGTGAGGGCATCGTCAAGCGCCATTTACGTTGTCAGATCTGCGCTGAGGGTGTCGTGGCACTCCGTGTTTGCAGTGATGGGCAACACGTTTCACATGGCTGGCGGTGATGGTACGCTGATATATCTTAAAGGACCTAGCCAGTCCTTGTCGCTGAGTGTGCTGAACAACTCTGCCGTGGTGATCCGAGGCAATCTTGTTTCGATGCCGGTGAAGTACTTCATTTTATTTTTTGGGGCCTCACGGGTGGAGTCTCTTTCAGCGGTTGTATTTCAGGGCAACGACATGCAGGGAAGCTCGGCTGTGTTTTATCCAAGCTACTCCCCCAAAATCTACTACAACTCCTGGCTGCAGTTGAGCGGCAACCTCTGCCGTGAATCCCCATCGGATGCCTTTGCTGTTTTTAGCCCCACGGTGAATGTCCGCGACTCCACGGTGTCTGTGTCCGGCAACCAATTCATGTCCAGCACGGTCACGCCGACGGTGCTGAGGATATTCACCGGGCCCCGCGATATCACAAACAGAGCGATTGTGGCCGCGTGCAACACTGTGAACGGCGGTGAGAGAGTGAAATACAGCATCCCGTCCGTGTACAATGCCACTATCCTGAGCTGCAGCGACCCATGCGCCCTTGCGGCGTCGTGCTTCCCTGCGTACACGACGACGGCCTCGAGTGATGGCTGCGCCTGCACGTGCGCGGAGGGCGGCCATGGCGATGCGTGCCTGCCCGTCGCTGTCCCCGAGCCACCGAGCACCGACGGCGCCGACTTGTGCGTGCGTGACGTGCGTGTGGATGTGGAGGTGAACGTCAGTTTCGGGACGTCGTTGGTGTGCTACATTGGTGTGACCTTTGCGGCAGACGTCGTGGTGGACGTGGAGTCGATGTCAGGGAGCGTGCGCAAAGTGACGCTGGCGGACTGCACGTTTGTGCGCGGAGCGAGCCTGTACGTTGTTGGGTGGCGGTCCGACCCGCCTGCTGGACAGCGCGCCGATGTGTTGATCAGCGGGCTTGAGTCGCGCTCCGGCGGCGGCGTGCTGGTGGCGAACCGATTTTCGCCGGGCTCGCGCGTCGCTGTGGTGGACTCGGTGCTGATCGCAGAGAAGCGTGTTGCGTATCGTGGCGCCTACGGCCTTGGCGACGCGTCCGCGTGCCTCGTGCTGCACAGCGTGGGTATGACTGGGAGCGTGCTGACCATCGCGCGCACGCAGGTGGCGGCTGTGTTCCGTGACGCTGTTGGCGTGTTGGTGGTTGGCGGCGTGGCGCTGTCGTCGCGCGGTGCGCTGTACGTGGACGGGCTGTTGGTGCAGACGGCGCTGGGGCTGTGCGTGTCGGTGGAGGGCGGTGTTGCGGCCAGCGGCGGCTCCGTGGTGGCGTTTGTTGACAGCGGCTTTCTGCTGTGCAAGCACGCGTTGTCTGTGCGTGGGGCTGTGAGCGTGTCGGGCTCCGCTGTGGCGCTTGTGCGGAGCGAATTCTTGTTGACGGAGGACTACGCGGTGGCGTTTTATTCGACGGTGAGCCTGGCCGACGGGTCGATGCTGCTGGCGAAGGGCAACGTGCACGACGGCGTCTCGAGGGAGATGCTCCACGCCGCTGGCGCCGTGACCGCTGCTGGGAGCACGCTGAGCTTTGTGTGCAACCGAGCGCTGCTGCCGCGGATGCTGTCGGTGAGCCTGTCGCTCTCGGCTGGGGCGCATGTGAGGGTGGCGTGCAACGACGCTGGTGGCCGTGTCCTGTCGACGGCGGAGGAGTACGCAGCGGCTGGTTTTGGCGACGCTGGGAGCATCGACGTTGCTGGGTGCGACGCCTGCGAAAGGGACACACACTGCTACGCGCCCGGGACGGCGTCTGCGAGCATGAGGAACGGTGTGTGCGTGTGCGCGTGCGGCAGCGGCGGGTACGGCGAGGCATGCGTGCCTGTGGGAGCTCCCGCACTGCCGCCCGCTGTGGGCACTGCGTCTAGTGTGTTCTTCCGCGAGGGCGTGACGATGCAGTCGGTGTTCGTTGTGCCTGGCGGTGCGAGCGAGGTGACGCTGCGCCACGTTGTGCTGGACGGCGTGAGTCCTGTGCTCTACGTGCCGTGGATGGCGCGGGACGGCGTGCGGATCGTTGTGCAGAACGTGTCGCTGCGTAACGGCGCCGTGCTGTACGTGATGGGCGGTGGAGCGCTGCGCGGTGCGGCGGGGAGCGACGAGAGCGGGCCGGTGGAGCTGTCGGTGTGCGACGTGGAGGCGCTGAACGGTGCGCTTGTGCTGACCGGCACGTTCCCTGCGGGGTCTGTGCTGACGGTGACGGACTCCCTGCTGGTTGCCGCGAGGTCGACGCCGCTTGTGTATCTTCCCGGCTCGCAGTCCTCGCCGTACGCACCGGTGCTTGTGCTGTCGGGCCTGCGTCTTGTGCAGTCCGTGCTGGTTGTGTCCGGCGTGGCCCTCGTGACCGTGGTGACTGGTGGGCGGACGGTGGTGGTGGACGGCGCCGTGCTGGAGCTTGTCGGTGGCGGTGTCGCGGTGGACGCGGCTATGTTCGGTGGCGAATATGCGTTGTACGCGAGTGCGCGCGTGGTGGCGTCGGGGGGCGCTGTGCTGCGCGTGTCGGGGAGCCAGGTGTACGCCGCGCATGGGTTGGTGTTTGGCAGCGGTGTGGAGGCCAACGCGTCCGCCGTCGTATTGAACGACAACGCCGGTGCGCTGACGGATGGCGCGCTGCTGGTGCTGCGGGGGTCGGCGTCGTTTGTTTCCGGGTCGTGGCTGTCGGTGCGCGGCAACAGCATCAGCGGCAGGCTCCTGTCGGTGCCGTCGTACCCGCGCAGTGCGGACCTTGTCCAGAGCACACTGACACTCTATGGGAACGCTGGCAGCGGGCCCGTCGTGATGGACGGCGCCGTTGTGCTTGTAGGCACCGGCCGAAGGTTCGTCGTGGGGTGCCTGACGCTGAACGGGCAGGCGCTACAGCCGATGGACTACAGGTCCGCCGGCATCATCGGGAAATTCCGCTCCGTGGCGTGTGGCGTGTGCGATGCCGACGTGCACTGCTTTGCAGCTGCGACGAGGGCGATTTCGGTGTCGTGCGGCTGCCGCTGTGCTGAGGGCGGGTACGGGCGCGACTGCCTGCCGGTGTACCTGCCGCACGTGGACGGGTGCAACCGCACGCCCGCTATGCCGCTGCTGAGCCACACGGCGACGCTGACGGAGACGCGCAGCCCGACACCAACGTGGACGGTGACTCCTAGCGCAACGAACTACAGTCCGACGCATTACGGGCCGACGGAGACCCCGCAGGTGACGGAGACGGTGGCGCTGTCGCCCACGCGGACCCCGACGGCGTCGGTGAGCAGCACGCTGTGGTGGAGCGAGGTGGCGTGCCCGACGCTCGCAGTGACGACGACGGCGGCTGGTGGGAGCCTGACGCAGAGCGACATCCGCGGCGGTGGGAGCGCCGTCCCGACGCTGCTGATGGTGGCGCTGCCGCCGCCGTTTCGTTGGGCACGCGACCCGCAGCTCGGTACGCACCTGAGCTTTGTGCCGGTTTCGACGGCGCAGCCGCGCGGGTTTGGCGGTCCGTGGGGAGCGATGCTGCGCAATGCGACGTGGGTGCGCAACGCGACGAATCCGTCCACCGTCCTGGAGCTGGCTGTGCCCGTGCACCGCGGTTACTTCATTGCTGCCGACGAGACGATAGTCATTCGCTGCGACGCTGCGGCGGTGTTCGGCGGCTGCAAGGGAGTGCTGCTTGGGTCCTTCACGATCAGGTCTGACACGCTGCCCGCCGCTGCCAGCGCTCTCTCGGCGGTCACCAGCGTTGTTGCGGGTGCGGCGGCTGTTGCCGTGGTGGTGACCGGAGGGCTGGGCTCCGTCCTGGAGATGCAGGCGCTCGGCGTGTTGGCGAGGATGTCATGTGCCTCGGCGCAGGAGCGTGCGAGCACCGTTGCGCTGCCGTACTTCCTGTCGGTGTTCGCTGCCCTTGACCCGCTGTGGATGGTGGTGGGCAACGCGCTGCTGGCCGCAGTGTTCGGGTGCGTGCACTGCGGTGTGACGGCGGCCTTCCAGCGGTGGCGCGGCGTGGACGCGGCGAGTGCGTGGGCGGCGATGCGCTTCCCGAGCCTGACGTACGTCGTGGCGCACGCGATGCACCTCGGCATCTTCTTCGGCTCCGTGCTTGCACTGGCGATGCCCGGCGCCCGCGTGCAGCACCGCGTGATCGGTGTCGTTGGCGTGCTGTACGGTGCGGCGTTCCCTGCTGGCGTGTGCTACTTGATTGCCCGCCACGTGGGCGCGAGCTTCACGAAGTACTGGCAGTTTTTGAGGAAGCCGTTGCACGAGCGCCTGCTGTACCCTGTCGGGTATTGGCACCCTGCGGCGCAGCAGCGGATGTACGGCGGCATGCTGACGAACATGAGGGGCAGCCACGTGTACTGGTGCGTGTTCCAGCTGTCGGTGCTGTGTGTGGTGTGCCTGATTGCTGCTGTGCACCCGCCCGTGGGAGGCTGCCACGTCCAGTACTTCTGCATGGCGGCCGTGCTGCTTGCGGGCGCGGGCGTGATTGCCTTCACGAACATGATGCGCTCGTCTTTCCTGACGGTGATGCGCGTGGCGAGCTTTGTGCTGCTTGCGGTGCTGTGCGTGGTCAGCGCGGCCAACCATCTTGTTCCGAGCGACGGCGGTGCGAGGGCGTACGCGGCTATCGTGCTGCTGCTGGCGACTGCAGTGCTTGCGGTCACTGTGTACGGTGTCGTTGTGTGGTACGCGGAGGACCGCCACTGGCAGGAGCTGCGCGAGCCGCGGCGTGGAGGGCTGGAGGCGCTGCTGCGCGATGACGAGGAGAGCGACGAGAACACGCAGAAGCTCCACGACATGACGTCATCGTCGTACGCCTCAGGCACCACCGCTGCGTTGTCGTACCGACCACCCGCACCGCCGTTGCAGTCCGTGACCGGTGACACCCGCTCAGACGCTCTGAGCTTGTTCGACGGTGCATCCATTGCGAGCTGAATAATTGATCACGTCCTCCTGGACAGGTGAAGATGCTCTGCTTGAAGAAAAATTTAGCGCAGTTTTTTTTTTTTAGGTGGAAGGGCTCCGACCCCAACAGTACCGGTACGCGGCGAGAAGGCACAGCGCACCTCGCAGATGCGGCATGACGTAGACGCTTCTGGCGGGTATCTTTTTTCTTTCCATTATTGATAGATTGATTGGGTGATTGCTTCTTGCTTTTATTTTATTTTATCGATTATCGACGAGAACGGATTATTACACTATCACGCTAGCCCGGGGCGGATGCGGAAGGGGTGTGTGCGTGTGTTTTGCGCCCCTCGCTGCCGCACCGAGTATGGGGGCTGCTGCTCTCTCTATTTCATATCTGTACTCAATATTTAGGACGTGCCCGACGGCGGTGGCTGGTGTGCGGGCCATAGGATGCATTCAGGAAAACGTTAGGGAAAACAATCGATGAAGCCCTTCTGTGACGCGTCACCTCCTGGAGGTTGTGAGTGTGCGTTGCTGGCTGACATGAGGGAGGGCGTGGGGGCCACGGCTGTGCGGCTGCGCAGCCACCCATCGGACTCCGCCCCGACCGCGTCATTGATTGTTGGTTTTTGTTGGTTTGTTTCTATTTTTTGTGCGGGTGCCTGCAGTGACTCTCCCTCCTGTTGCACGATGACTGTGTGGGAGGGCATGCCTGCCGCTCCTTATACTTCTGGTGTTGTGTAGAAGGAACAGCGAGAGAAGGAACGAAGAATTATGCGGATTGATGTATTACTTTGTGTATGCGTATATGTATCGATGTACTTCTGTGGATTATTTCACTATTTCTTCCTTCTCTTTTTTTCTTTTTACGTCGCTCCACATGTGTCTCAGTGTTTGCTTTACTACGGCCACACGCGGGTAGCTTGAGCCGCGGATGTCTTTTTCTTTTTGATGTCATTTTGTGTTGGGCAATAACGCGGGCACGTTTGTCAAGCATCCACTCCCCACGGCATGCTGCCTGATATTTTGGATTTATCCCCGATGTAACGCAGGCACCACCGCCGTGGCAGGCATGGGAATTAAGATGGAACGCGGGGCAGCGAAAGATATTGTGCGGCACATGTGTCTGTCGCATTTGTTCTGTCGAGGAGGTCTTCAATGTGGAAGAAGAGGGATGCACATTGTACGATTCCGAGGCTTGGAGGAGTTATTGCCCTGCCCCTCTTTTATTATTATTTTGTATGATGCCTGGTTCCCACCCGTGTCTGCCTCGATTTGCCTCCCTGAGTGGAGCTGCGCCGTGGCCATCCTTTTGGTTGTTTGCGGGAGGAAAAACACATTGCGAGCGACGAAACCACAAGTCATGCATGCGGCGTCCAGGGACGTACGTATTTGAGGTGGGGTGCACATATGTGGATGTCGTGTGGGACGAAGCGGGGGTTGACTGCCCAACCGTCGCTCCTTTTCTGGAGAGTGTGCTCCCCTTTTTGATTTGTTGCCCTTTTGCCTCAAGGCACGGCGGGATTGGACAGCACCGTCCCACGAAAGGTCCTGCACACATGCACACTCTCATGCCACTGTCGCCCCCGGAGTGGGGTGTAAAACCCAAATTTTACCTGCCTTTTGCATTGACGCAATTATTTATTTATTAACTGACGCCGTTCTGTCCGGCGTGTCACTTTGATTGGATTGTGTGGGAATGCCCGCCAACACCATCAAACAAAACAGGCTGACGACTTCACGTATTTAAATGCCATCTTGCGCGCAAGTATTTTTTTCACATGTTCAGTTGATGTGCACTCGAGCAGCGAGGGATTTGGAACTATGCGTGCGTGGGATTTTTCCTGCCATGTGAACTGCGGGCAGCACCGAGGGGCTGTCACTTTGACTCCGCAGACTTGTTGTGTCTTTTTGGGGGGGTTGGCAGGGAAATTCCATGCAGCCAGCTACTGCTGGTGTGTCCCCAAATGTTGTCACTCCATGCGAATAATGTGCTTCAGCGAGTGAGGGTGTTGGTTGGTTTGTGTGCACTCTGATTCTGTTTGCTACCTTGTGCGGGCACGCAACGCTTGAGTGGTGGGAAAATGGAGCGGGGCGACGCATGGCTGCGTCCCGCCCATCGTTCACTGCAAGATGGTGTGGTGCACATTGTGGTGTTGACTCTGCGATGTGACTGCGGTCTCCTGCGCGGCAATGGCGGTGGGTGGAGGAGAGTGTTGGCCCGCGGCGGGACGGTGGGATCGTGTTTTCTTTTTATTCTTTTGTGAAGGTGCACACTTATTTTCAGTGTTAGTGATAGGGAAAACAAACAGAAAACGTGAATCATAAAATATAAAAGGGCGATAATGTTGCGGTGTTGTGGCCGATTGCGCGTTGCGTTGCTGCGGGGCGGTGGGCCTTGACTGCTTCACCGACAGGCGTTGCAGTGCGGCTGCATGGCGCGCCGACCGCCCCGCCGTGCGAGTGCCACGCCCAATGCCATTGGGACTGCGGGAGGAAACAGCCGCGAGTGTCCTTTGGAGCCAGCGGCGCCTGCTGGCCGCGGTTGGGCGGTGCGAGTGGGATGCTTCACCGCACGGGTGTTGTGATGGCACCTCGCCGTGGCTCCGGCGATGTTTCCGACGCTGCGACTCGCAGAGGGGTGAAGGGAACGCAGCAACCGCAGTGGACCATGAGCAGCAGCGTAAAGGACATTCTGCTGGAGGGAGACACTCTCAGGACCGACATGAAGCTGAACGATTTCCTCCGGAGCAAATTGGGCGATGAGTGGGTTGTGAAAAAAAAATGGGAACGTCATTATGGAGACGTTTGTTCAGGAGCCGGATGCTTACGTACAAGACCAGCGGCATCTTAGAATTATTTTTAATTTAACAGAGTACCAGGTGTACAAACTTCACCACGAGGGTGTGTTCTCGCTCGAGCAGTGGAGGGACTATGAAGGAAAGGATACGGTCACTCTTATTGCAAGGGGAAAACTAAACGCAGCCCTCACTCAGATAGTAAAAGTAGAACGGCGTGAGGCAGAAATGAAATTTACCATTTCCACCACGATCGTAGATGTACTGTTTAAAGGAAGGGTTCGCGTCAAGGAAAAGAAGCTGAATGATTTTCTTACGATGGAATTGGGCGGCAGGGGCGTTGTGGACACCAATCGGGATGTCTTACTGGAGGAGTTTTTCAAGGACCCCACGAGGTATATCCGTGATAAGGGAGCGTTGGAAGAAATGCAGATGACCGATGCTTATGCGGGGATGGAGAGGGCTGTGAGGGTGAAATGAATATGGAGGAAGATATAAAGAACCTCCACTATAATCATGTAAGTGCGCTGCTGGGATGGTCATTAGCCACTCCGGAGGTAAAAGAAAGTGTTCATGGCATCATTAAACGGTTTTTGGATGCAGCCCTTGAGGAAGTGAGGAGCCCAATGAGGATGAGTGCAGCGATGAAAATGGAGGGATTGTACGAGTCTGTGTACAATGCGAGGTGGCACCATGTCGTGGAAATTCCCGACGGCGATGAGCGAAAGAAAAAGGGGACGGTAATGGAGGTGAAGAAGGGGGAACCACCGCAGTCATGGACGTACAAGGCAGTTGGCGAAACTTTCGAAAAGGATGACGGTGCGCAGCAGTCCGGTGCAGCACGTCTCAGGCTGATGGTGCTCACCTCGGACAGGGGATGACTGTACTCGTGGTATACGATACAGGATTCCTCGAAGGACTTTTTCGTTAACTGCGAGGTGGATCGAGTGTGGCAGATCGTCCTTGACGATCTCACCGAGTGGCTCAGCAATTCTGACTTGACTCTCAATTCTTCACCCGTGCGGCGTCTGTTGATCGGGACGCCCGGGATCGGGAAGTCGGTGGCTGCCAGCTCGTACCTCCTCTACCAGCTGCTGCACTGCGATGTGGACAAACTCCAAGTGGTTGTCCACTGTTTTGGAGAAACGGCGTACGTGTTTGACAAGACCACCAAAACCGTGACAAAATACATGGGTAACTTAACATCCAAGAGTGTTTTGTATGGTTTGTGGAAGAGTGGGATGAAAGGGTACATTATTTACGATGTGGCAAGGAAATGAACACCGCCCGACACAGGTTTTGCACCCCCAACCGGATGGGGCATGATTGTGGTGTCATCCCCAAAGGTAAGCAACTATGATGAGTGGGCGAAGCAATTAAAAGCCGAACGAATCATCGTGAATTGTCCCGACGAGACGGATGTGAAGGCGATGTGTGCGTGGATGAAGCGTGACGAGACTCCAGAGAAAAAAGCGGGATACTGGAGGATGGTCAAAAGACACATGTCTCTTTTGGTACCGATTCCACGTCACATCTTCGATGCGGATGAATGTGGAAAACGCACGCAAGATGTTGAGAGGGCCTTGGAATGGATCAATATTGGGGATCGAGGAAAGTACTTTACACAGGGGGAGAGAAAAAATGGCAATCCGAGGATCCGTCCCACAAACTTTTGAGGATTGTTCGCGTAAGAGAACATGGCCCATTTGAGGACTTCGCTAATGCACCTATATGTACGTATCTTGGGGTTTTAACGTTATCTCGTTTGGCAAGGGTAATGAGTCCGCATGATATTTTTTTCCTCGTATTGGGGATGAAGAATGTTCTTCAATCTGAGGCCTTGGAAAAGTATTCTTTGAGCGTCTTCTTGATTGAGAATTTTGTCACCTCCATAGTGAGGGATCTCAAGGAGCTGCCGCCACCATCGCCTTCCAAACCACGGTCCTCGGTGCTAACGTTAAACCCTCATGGCTACCCCACCGAGGCAGCTGCAATAACTGAACTGAAGCTCATTGATCGCCTGCAAGAATTAAAGTATCGGGTGCTGTGCATGCCGACGTCCCCAACCTTTCCGCTGGTGGACGGCTTTTTCTTTTTGAATTCACCGCGGAGGACGCTGGCTGGACTGCAGATGACTAGGGCACATGCTCACCACACGACAACCAGCACTGTGCGGCAGTTCACTGAGTATCTGTCGTGGTTCTTTACGAATTGGGAGGAATTTGCTCA